GAGCAGTAAATTCCAAGCAACTCATACATAGCTCCTACTTGTATTAGTGGATAACTATTATGTTCCAAGAGAAACAAAATAATTGAAATGTTTAAACCCAGTGTACACAATCCCTAGATGTTAAACCTGAACCACAGTTCCTCTTGGTATAACTTACACATAAATCTTCCTAAACAGAGAATAATTAATGTATAAAAGAAAGACTTACACAACAGTTTCATCAGTAATAGAAGCTAAAATTAAAGTTTAAGTAAGTATACAATTGTGGAGAGAACTTTAGTCAGTTGAACTATATACTTTTTTTTCTTAAGCTGCTCTTCTTTAGACTGTATTATGAATAGCAGGGCTCAACTAGGATTTTTCAGCTCTCCCATAGATATAACAAATTGCCTTATTTGAATCAGAAATATCTTTACCCTCAACACTTGTGGCCTTCTAGTCATGGATTTTTGCTAATGCCACACACACGGTGGCAGTGTTTCCAGAATAACTGAACCAGTGAGGATATGGACTTAACGTTTTACGAATGTACTTCCCTACACATGGCCTAGCAATTAGCACAAGGCTCTAAGGTTGTTGTTTTATTTCAGGAGGAAAATAATTTATGTGAGACCTTCCAAGTCCACCACCTAGGCAAAAATGCAAGCATGTAACTTCTGCAAATGAGGGACTAAGGAATTTATGAGACAACACGCTGGTTGGTGCCCTTAAAGAGTTTATTCACCTGTAAAATGTAACCAGTTTATTCATAAGTGCCTCACTTACTACAAACAAGGTCAAATTATTTTCCTTTCTGGGATTAATAAGTCACTTTAATATCTAAGAGACCGAGATCATATACACCAAGCATACAAAAAGTGGAAAATAATTTAGCTATATATTCCCACTTCCAGAGATTTTTGTGCCCCCCTTTACTTAATGAAGCCAATCGTTGATACTACGAAAGAGACGGAAGCTCAAACTACAGGATATTTCAGACTTACCAAGACCTAACTCATATACTGTTAGAAACACTTGTCTGTTTTAAAAAGGCTGCCGATTTAAAGCATGAGTAGAATAGCGTTCAGGAAAAGCCCAAGAGTGGTGATCACACCAATTTGCAAAAACTTGCTTTACACTTTAAATACGAAAGCGTGTTTCATGATGCTGTGTTAACTCAGTTTTGATCCTAGGCTTTGCATTACAGTGGCAAAAGATGCTACCAGTAACTATACTTTGTATTATCTAAAGAAAGGGCTTCGAAATGATGATTCCTAAGAGTTCACCAGTGAACGTAATCTCCAAAAGTCCTAAAACTTTGAACAGTTGTTTTTAAAAAGTCACTTTAAGCGATACTCTCCTGGGACGTATACGGAAGGACATATATTTTGAGACTCACCTTCCCAAGCTGGATCCCCACGCTGGGGGAGGAGGAGGTAGTTCTGCAGACGAGCAGGAAGGGTGGGGCGCCGGACAGCTCTTCCAGCAGGAACCACACAGGCACCTGCAAAGGGACACAGTATTCTTAGAGTCCTGGCTAATTTTTATCTTAAAAGTGTTAAATCAGTCCATTTTAACTTATGATAACCAAAGGGCAAAATACACAGGCTTTTAGCTTCAAATAGTTTTCCCAAGAAGAATTTTTCCTCTCCTCGGCCACTGTCCGCCTGAGTTGTTTGAATTGCGGGACTTCGGGGTGGGTTTGTTTTCTGCTTGGTTTCAATTAGCATTTTTGTGCTTTTGAAAAAGGAATTTCAGTTGTTTCTTTAAAAGGTCATTTGATTGGCCCAGGGGGTTCTAGGAAAGATGTGGTACCTTCTTTTTCTCTTGACCAAAGCTCTCTGTAACACCACAGTCATTTCTAGAAAGCAGTTTAGTAGTCAGACATTTGGAAAACTGTCTAAAGCCAGTGCCTAAAATTGAAGTTGAAGGAGGGATCTTGGGTTTTTGGTCCTAAAAGATAAAAACAAAAAAACCTGCCACACTTTTTCTTGGTGTGTACAAATTACTACGACCAGTTACCTTAAGAAGGAGGGTAACCTGGCACCAGTTCTTTTGACCATTCTATTGCCTAATGCTGTAAGAATGTGAAATGGCCATGGCATTAATTATAAAGAGAGCCTGAAAGAAATCTTGGCCACAAGACGGGAATTGACGCAATTTATATGTCTGCTACATTCAGACTATGCCCTTAGCAGATGTTTCTGCATGTATTTATAGAAAGGTTTACTTTAGTAAAAAGACCATCTTCCATCAACCATTTTTAACACACTGACACTAAAATACTTTTATTATGCATAGAAATTAATGCCAAAACAGTCTCGATTCTTAGATTCTTAGTTATGATATAATATGAAATATCAAATTAGAAATAGTGTAAGGAGAAAGAACTGGTAGACCTCAAATCTGATGCAAGCTATCAGAAAATACATTTCAAACACAACTGTGGAAAAGGGAAGTTATTTCAAAGTTTCCCCTTCTATAGCTGGGCTCTCCCTGCATAGCTACTATCGCCCTGAATGGAGACATTGTCTCCCAATCTGGTTACTAGACTAACACTTCATATAACTTAATAGTTGCTACAAAAATGTCATTCATTTCCCATTTATTTTTTACATAGTATCACAGCAGCAGTGCAAAGATACATTAGTGTATGCTTCTAATTTTTAAAAGAAAAAAAGTAGCAGTCATAAAATATTTTTCTAATGAAAATAAATAGGTTCTAAGCCAACTAGATTTCCCTGTTTCATTCTGTCTGTAGGTTAGAGCTTCTGGCTTCAACTAGACCTGCCTACCTCCTAAAGAAGCCAGGAGAAAGACACCCATTTGAGGCTGATGCGCCTTGGTGAAAGAGCCTGTTTATAGAGCAAGATGTTATCCAAAAAGCAATAAAAGGGTCAATCCTGCTGGGAGAGAGGACTGGGTGGCAAATTCAGAACCATGTGAGAAGAGATTAAATTATAAATACCGTAATTTTTACCCTGGAGCCTAGAAGCTATATGGACTCCAGGCTGGCTGGCAAATCAAACCAAAATCTCCAATAAATCAAAATCTCTTCTCTTACCCATCTTTTCTTCTTTAAAGCCTCATCTCTTTTTTTTTAGTTTTGTCACCAAGAAAATCTTTTGGAAGTGGGCAGCTGAGAAGGAGAGTTTCTAAAATTCACATAATCATTATCTTCCTTTGTCCATAAAATTAGGTTACTGCTATTAGAGCCAGACATTTGAGGGCCAAGATTAGGGTGGTGATTTTGTCAGATATATAATTCAAAATGATACTTATATATATGCTGACATTAAAATCTTTCCTTTTTAGATTTTTATAATTGCAAAATTCTGGATGAATCAGGGCTCTTCAGGATGGGATGGGAAGTGTCCCAGTCCTGCTGGTGGCCTGGGAATGTGCTTGGGATGCCTGGCGGAAATGCCAAACTTGACGGGTGAGGGATTCAGGCTCTTGTACACCTGTCCTCACTTCTCTAGTACCCAGTGAGGCCTCAACTGGCTCTCCATCAATTATTTTAATTACCTTAATTTCTCAACCCATCATAGACCCTTCAGCCAGACCACTTAGAGAGAGAGAGAAAAAAAAAAAAGGAGCAAAACCTATGATTCTGCTATTTTTAAAAGCCTTCATAGAAGAAGTTTAAACTTCTGTTATTTGGTCTGTAACTGTAATGACAACATTTTCCTAACCACAAATATGAATATAAGATCTGGCAATTCAGAATACTCATGGAGGCAATAAGAAATTTGAGATTTAACCTGCAATGATCTCAGAAAATTTATAGTGTACTGGAGCTTTACTTGAGACTCTTCACGTCCATGTAGGCCACCATCTGAGCTCACTGCCAGTCACTCCCCTGAAGCTTCCACATGACACACCTCCAGCCTCACCCCACTGTTCTGCTCCTCGGCCTCTAGATCTGCATCATGTTGGCATCCCATGCCTGGAGCTCCATCAATGTTTTGTGCTGACCAAACTCCAACTCACCCTCCAAGAGACAACTCAAACATCTCACATCCCCTGGAAACTTCTCTCATCCAAATGGATCATTCTATTCCAGATATTCCCAAGAGGCTGGTGAACAGTACTCACTGGCACTGTTTCCTAAATCCTCACAATCCTGTGAGGTAGTAAGCTGTAATAAGGGAGTAATTAGAGACAAAAACTAACAAATAGAAAGATGAAAGACTGTTCCAAGGTCAAGTAGCTAGTAGGGAGCCAGGAACTGAACTCGGGCAAATTAACTTCAGAGCCCATGATCTTCAACAACTGACCATGTCCAGTATGTTCCTTGACTGTAATAGTCAGCATCAAGTATAAGGAAGTGTTTGCCTTTGCTTGAGGGCAAGGACATTTTATATTACTATCTGAATTCACATTGTCTAGCACATAAGAGGTGCTCAATAAATGTCTGTTGTGGGCTTGAAGAATTCAGAGGGTTTTACAGAACGGTGATGAGTTGCTCAGCAGTGCTGAGCTTACCATCAGTGAAAGTCCTGCCCAGATAAATGATTCCTTTTACCTGGATATAATTCTCCTGTGACCACAGGTCTGAATATAAAAACAAAAAAACCTGCCACACTTTTTCTTGGTGTGTACAAATTACTACGACCAGTTACCTTAAGAAGGAGGGTAACCTGGCACCAGTTCTTTTGACCATTCTATTGCCTAATGCTGTAAGAATGTGAAATGGCCATGGCATTAGTTATAAAGAGAGCCTGAAAGAAATCTTGGCCACAAGACGGGAATTGACGCAATTTATATGTCTGCTACATTCAGACTATGCCCTTAGCAGATGTTTCTGCATGTATTTATAGAAAGGTTTACTTTAGTAAAAAGACCATCTTCCATCAACCATTTTTAACACACTGACACTAAAATACTTTTATTATGCATAGAAATTAATGCCAAAACAGTCTCGATTCTTAGATTCTTAGTTATGATATAATATGAAATATCAAATTAGAAATAGTGTAAGGAGAAAGAACTGGTAGACCTCAAATCTGATGCAAGCTATCAGAAAATACATTTCAAACACAACTGTGGAAAAGGGAAGTTATTTCAAAGTTTCCCCTTCTATAGCTGGGCTCTCCCTGCATAGCTACTATCGCCCTGAATGGAGACATTGTCTCCCAATCTGGTTACTAGACTAACACTTCATATAACTTAATAGTTGCTACAAAAATGTCATTCATTTCCCATTTATTTTTTACATAGTATCACAGCAGCAGTGCAAAGATACATTAGTGTATGCTTCTAATTTTTAAAAGAAAAAAAGTAGCAGTCATAAAATATTTTTCTAATGAAAATAAATAGGTTCTAAGCCAACTAGATTTCCCTGTTTCATTCTGTCTGTAGGTTAGAGCTTCTGGCTTCAACTAGACCTGCCTACCTCCTAAAGAAGCCAGGAGAAAGACACTCATTTGAGGCTGATGCGCCTTGGTGAAAGAGCCTGTTTATAGAGCAAGATGTTATCCAAAAAGCAATAAAAGGGTCAATCCTGCTGGGAGAGAGGACTGGGTGGCAAATTCAGAACCATGTGAGAAGAGATTAAATTATAAATACCGTAATTTTTACCCTGGAGCCTAGAAGCTATATGGACTCCAGGCTGGCTGGCAAATCAAACCAAAATCTCCAATAAATCAAAATCTCTTCTCTTACCCATCTTTTCTTCTTTAAAGCCTCATCTCTTTTTTTTTAGTTTTGTCACCAAGAAAATCTTTTGGAAGTGGGCAGCTGAGAAGGAGAGTTTCTAAAATTCACATAATCATTATCTTCCTTTGTCCATAAAATTAGGTTACTGCTATTAGAGCCAGACATTTGAGGGCCAAGATTAGGGTGGTGATTTTGTCAGATATATAATTCAAAATGATACTTATATATATGCTGACATTAAAATCTTTCCTTTTTAGATTTTTATAATTGCAAAATTCTGGATGAATCAGGGCTCTTCGGGATGGGATGGGAAGTGTCCCAGTCCTGCTGGTGGCCTGGGAATGTGCTTGGGATGCCTGGCGGAAATGCCAAACTTGACGGGTGAGGGATTCAGGCTCTTGTACACCTGTCCTCACTTCTCTAGTACCCAGTGAGGCCTCAACTGGCTCTCCATCAATTATTTTAATTACCTTAATTTCTCAACCCATCATAGACCCTTCAGCCAGACCACTTAGAGAGAGAGAGAAAAAAAAAAGGAGCAAAACCTATGATTCTGCTATTTTTAAAAGCCTTCATAGAAGAAGTTTAAACTTCTGTTATTTGGTCTGTAACTGTAATGACAACATTTTCCTAACCACAAATATGAATATAAGATCTGGCAATTCAGAATACTCATGGAGGCAATAAGAAATTTGAGATTTAACCTGCAATGATCTCAGAAAATTTATAGTGTACTGGAGCTTTACTTGAGACTCTTCACGTCCATGTAGGCCACCATCTGAGCTCACTGCCAGTCACTCCCCTGAAGCTTCCACATGACACACCTCCAGCCTCACCCCACTGTTCTGCTCCTCGGCCTCTAGATCTGCATCATGTTGGCATCCCATGCCTGGAGCTCCATCAATGTTTTGTGCTGACCAAACTCCAACTCACCCTCCAAGAGACAACTCAAACATCTCACATCCCCTGGAAACTTCTCTCATCCAAATGGATCATTCTATTCCAGATATTCCCAAGAGGCTGGTGAACAGTACTCACTGGCACTGTTTCCTAAATCCTCACAATCCTGTGAGGTAGTAAGCTGTAATAAGGGAGTAATTAGAGACAAAAACTAACAAATAGAAAGATGAAAGACTGTTCCAAGGTCAAGTAGCTAGTAGGGAGCCAGGAACTGAACTCGGGCAAATTAACTTCAGAGCCCATGATCTTCAACAACTGACCATGTCCAGTATGTTCCTTGACTGTAATAGTCAGCATCAAGTATAAGGAAGTGTTTGCCTTTGCTTGAGGGCAAGGACATTTTATATTACTATCTGAATTCACATTGTCTAGCACATAAGAGGCGCTCAATAAATGTCTGTTGTGGGCTTGAAGAATTCAGAGGGTTTTACAGAACGGTGATGAGTTGCTCAGCAGTGCTGAGCTTACCATCAGTGAAAGTCCTGCCCAGATAAATGATTCCTTTTACCTGGATATAATTCTCCTGTGACCACAGGTCTGAAAAATAGGTATCTATTATACATCATATACCATGTAAGTAACTGAAATTGACAAATAATCAATATATACCAACACACAATCCAGGGTAAAAAGAAGGAAACCTCTATACTCTAATAATTATATTATTTTTCATAAAATTAAAATTAAGGATATTTGAACATCCACTAGACACTGCTAAATATGTGCTAAAGGTAAGATACTCTCTGTATTTGTAGTCAGCCTCCAAGATAGCCCCCCACATCCTTGCCTCCTTGTCTTTGTGCCCTTACATATTCTCTTCCCATGACAAGCAGAGTTAACTTGTAAAGCCAGTAGGCTATGATGGACATTCTGTGTGATTTCCAGCCTTTTTGCTCTTTTCGATCACTCATTTGTGTTATACAGACATTCAAGCGGCCCTTTGGAGAGGTCTGTGTTGTAAGGAACTGAGGCCTCTTGCCAACAACCAGTTCAAATTTGCCAAGCACGTGAGCAAAGCACCTTGGGAAGGGATTTCCGTATCTAGTCAAGCCTTTATGTCGACTACTCAAAGGGACCTTCCATACCTAGTCAAGCGTGTATGTAGATGACTACAATATGGTGTGACATCTGGCCTCCAACCTTATGAAAGATCCAGAGCCACCCGTGGACATTCCTGGATTCCTGATCCTCCAAGGAACTAGGGGAGACAAAAAATGTTTACTCTTTTAAGTCCTTAGGTTCAGGGCAACTTGGAATGCAGGAATAGATAACAAAATATACAATCTATTTAAGTTGGTTTATAAGAATGCAGATAGAAGTTATTGATATCAATGAACACAGTATCAGATTATTACATACAATTCCTATATACTGAACACAAACAAAACAGAATGATTAAGAACTCAAGAACAAAATAAATCTGGTTTACAAATTGTGTTGCTATTTCTTTCTTTCTTTCTTTTTCTTAAATGAAGTAAAGAATGCAGGCCCTTCATTTGCTTATAGAATTCTCATAATGACTGTTGATTAATTGTTGGGTATATTCTCATCCTCCAAACTAGGCCCAGAAGGATGGATAATCCAGGACAATAGAGACCTTTTTATTAATGCAGATATCAGAAAAGAGTTTACTGCTTTGGCTGTTCAAGTCTTATAAGTCACATAAGAAAAAGTCTGAAAGTTTTGGAGGAAGCCAGCAACTGTCTACTCTGTGAGTCTAGATGCCTGTAAAGTTAAACAAGCACATTTCTTTTTATTGAAAAGAGAAAATCCCTATGAATATTCAATTATACATAAATATTCAACCAGAAATAGAATGTAATAGCACATTTTCATAACTGATATCCTTTTGTATCCACAAAATAAATTAAAACCATAAATATGCAAATTTGAAACTCCCTAAATTTTAAGTTCTATTTACTAAAAGAAAGAGTAGGAACGGTCAAGGTTTTTTTTTTTTCTTCAACACCAAAATTCACAGACATCTACATCTCTGAACGTAATTCAGTTCTGTCAAAGCAGTATGCAAAGTTAGTAAGAAAGGTATTAATCATAGGTTCTGCATAGCCCATATGAAGTATTAAAGCAATAAAATGGTTACAGAAAGAATAAGGTAGATTTCCCTGTGGAAACAAATCTATTGTAACGTAATCAACTCATTAGTTTGCAATGGACAGGGCAATGCTAATAACAAAAAAAAAACAACTATTCATGTAATAAATATTTACAAGGCTCTTACTGTATTTAAAATATGGTAAGGATTATGAAGTTTCCACCAACTGTATGATATTTGTGAGACCTAATACTAGTAATAATAATACCAAGTAAAAATGTAAAAGCATCAAAGAGACTTGAAATACAGCTACAAGAGCATTCATATCCTGGTGGATACTCAGGAAGCCTTCCAAGAACAAGTCATCATATGTGTATATGGCTCTAAATTTTTTTTTAGCTTTTTCATACCAACATACAGTAATTCCCATTACAGATGACAAAGTTGAGATTCAGAAAGATTGGGTGACTTGTTTTTAACGCAGTTCCTGCATTTTAAAGAACAGTAGGCACACAGTGAGTAGATGCTAGGTGACCTTTCTGCACAATTTAGACAATGTCCATAACCCTGTGAAGGCAAACCCTGTAGCCCCCATATTGCAGATAAAGAAACTAAAATTTCAGAAACACCTGGTACCTTGTCAGGTTCACACAGGGCTGAATGATGGAGCCCTGATTTGAATTCAAGTGTACCTGATTTGAAAGATCCTGCTTTTTTCTAGCAGACGCCCATCCCAGGTTAGCTCGTATAACCCATGATGCTTCTAGAAAGTGTTCATTCTCTTTCCTGCATCTTCCCCTTCTGGCATAAGAAACTGATCCATAAACAATAGGAACTGAAATGCATACTTGTTAGTCTTACGATTTGTTATTAAATGTCACACAGGAAATTAGAAAAGAAACACTGAGCAGGACAAGACAAGAAAGGATATGATCAATTATTTTTTTAAATAGCCAAACAATCATTTTTGTTGAGACCAGTTTGAAAAAATGTATTTCTAAGCCTTACTAAACAAGCTATCCAGTGATTGCTTGGCTATGGTCTCCTTCCCTGGCTGACACTTCAGTACCCCACATCCCAGAGAGCTGTTCTCAGAAGATCGGCTGTAGAGTTTTGATAAGTATTTGTCAAATGTATCTAGGTGTCTTTACTGAAGATCTATTACTCCAATATGAGTTGGCAAAAAATCCACAACACTATAAAATATATATAAAGGATAAACATAACCATGTAACAGAAGTTGTGTTTCCGTACAGAACAGACTTCAGACAAATGTGAAATTGGGACATACTAAAGGGTTACATCAAGCAAGCACTGAGAAAAGAATATGGTTCTTGGGGTGGTCCAGTGATTAGGACTGAATGCATGGCTGGGCCAAAGTTTTAAGAGAAAATATCAAACTGATGGAGCTGTTAGAAGGGAAAAAGACCTGCAGAACAGAAAAGGAAGTAAGCTCCTTCTGCAAAGGGGACATCCTAAAGCTGCTTTTACTGTCCCTCAAAGGACAAGGCTCTGTTCGAGGCACAGTGAGTTTGCAGAAGAATTCAGGTGGAATAGGTACAACCCTGAAATTCTGAGCCACTTTCTAAGACCAGAAAAAATTCAAAGAAGTTAACTGGTTTTTAATTTAAATGAAGTAAACTACAGAGTTAATAAAACTGATGACGATGTGAGTAGTCCTTCAGCAGATACAGTTTCTCGAAACATACTAAAAAGATTCTTTGGAGGTTTTCCACACTGTTCTGTGCTATTTCTTAGACTCACTCCCCTAATGTACCATGGGATCTGGGTACTTCCTTTGAGGCCCAGTGCCTAGCACAGAATCTGGCACACTCAATAAATGAACATGAGGGGAAGGCAAGGGGAGGGAGGGTCTTGATAAAGCAGGAATTTGACGTGCTATTTCCTGAGGAGGCAGCGCAGGCGCCTAGCTGGTACAGACTTCTCCTTTCCTTCTCCCCCTGCAAGGAAGGTTTGGTCGAGGTGGGGGGGGGGGTGGCGGGGTGAGAGGAATGTTTTAAATGAAAGGAAATAAGTTTTAATGAAAAAAACCAGTGTGACTTTTAAGTTGTATTTTTGTATTAACACAAATGAAATCCCAAATACTGATTTCAGCCACCACTCCCCAATTACCCTGGACGCTTTTTAAAATAATACAGATTGCTCTAACTGACCTCTTCTGAGCTTATCAGAATTGATTATTTAGCTGTATTGCTGCTTTTAAACACCTGACAGTTGTGACTGGAAGGTCGTCTGCACGGGTGTTTTAAACTTCCTCCCACTTTTTTCCTAATGGTCTCAGAGAACTAATTTGAAAAAGACCCTCTCATAATTAAGAGTTAAGTTCAAATGTGAGGAACGGTCTCATTTTTAAAATAATGCTAATTAATTTCAAGTGACAATGATTTTCATTCTCTCCTTTTAAAATGTGTTGATAGAAAAATTTTAGCATACATTAAAAAAAGGCAAAAAAATATTGAGCAAAGAATATTCCATCAACGAAATTAGAAATTACAATAGTATGTTGACATATTTAAATATGCTTTAAACAATTACCTAATTTCCTAAATTGAGCTGTGTCATAATGTATGTTAATCTTGAATAAATGTCCTCATTTCAGTTCCAAGAAAAGCATTAGCAATAAAGCTACCTTAAGTTGAAGAAAAGAATGTCTGAATGTTTAAACACTATTTAAGCCTGGCACTCATGCCAATTATACTTTACTTATTTCTGAAACCTTGCCGTCTCCTGCCTTAGTGCCTGCAGGGAGGGAAGACCTTTGAGTGTTTCTGGAATTACATTCTCCGACAGTTTTGGTGTGCTTATTGCCCTTACTGAGAGCATATGATAATGACTATAATGCTGTGTTAATACTGCTCAGTTTGGCTGCAGGCTAAGTGAAGGAAAGCCAGGAGTCACGACTGCATAGCTTGTAAGGTGTACCGGGGGTTTTGGTCAGTTCACACCGCGGTCCACTCACACCAGTTCATTGCCTAGCAATGGCTCTACAAGTCAAGCGCCCGCTCCTGACCCCTGGGTACAGGAAAAAAGGCAGAAACACACAAGAGCCAGTGTGTAAGAATAAATAAGGGAGAAAACAGAAAAATGATTAAAGCAAGCAAAGGTGGCGGGAGAGGGGAGGGGAGGCAGTAAGTAACAAGGAGCTCTGTCAGGGTTGTGGGGAGCCAGTGCCTTGGGAAATGCTGGGTCAGAATCCAAGGAAACACATGATAGAAGCTGGTGGAGTCTAATCTCTGTACAATTCAGGGGGAAACTGGGTGAGCACAGCATGCGTGCACACAGCGGAGGCACGCTCCCCCGCGTGACTCAGCGGCTGGCACCTCCTCGGCCCGAAGGGCACACTGAACCCACGAGCATCCACTTCCACGGTCGGGCCAACGCAGGGAATGGGAGGTCCTCCACACCGTGCGAGACCCAGGCTCCAAAGACAAAGCCAACCTCCCGGGAAGTAGCTCAGATAAGAGGAAACACTCCACTCCCAGCTCTGCTGTGGTATGAATCTGGGACAGTCATAACCTTCCCGAATCTCAATTTCTCATCTGTGGTGTTAGATCTTGGGAATGGGTGCACCTGGTCTGACTTTTAATAACTCACATTGTCAACATCCACGGCCCTGGGATATGTGGGATCCTGGAGGAGGAGGCCAGATGAATGTGAAGTGGCAGGGCCAGACCCACCTTCTCGGGAGCAGAGAACCCAACTTGGGATGCTGGGCAAACCAGATGGGATATAACGATCTCATCCCTCTGAGCACAGGCTCTGCTTACAGCGTCACAGAGACCAGGAAAATGCTTGCTACAAGCAGTTAGGAAAAAATTTCTCTATGTGCATTACATTACACCACTCTCTTTGCACCAAGCCACTGTTCTAAGTCTTTTATACAAACTAATTCATTTACTTCTTCTAATAATCCCATGAAATATAGATTTCCTTCATTTTCTGATGAGGCAAGAGGTACAGGGTGGTTAAATAACTTTTGATGGAAGTCACCCAGCTGGCAAACAGCAGATTCTGTGTATGAACCCAGCCCTATTTACTGCAGTCTGTGCTCCTATCCACCTCGCAACACTGCCTCTGACCAGGACCCTGTAGCTTGCTCTCCTGACAGGAAGATCTTGTCTTTC